CACGCGGTGCTACATGGCGGCTTCATTTATGACTGGAGGAGTTCTTGGTACGCATCACTACTGTGTGGAAGAAAAGGTGCGAGGGCAACCGAACAGCGTGTTGCGACCACGGGCCTTCTTCGGCGGGTATTTGTTTCTTTTTGACGCTGCCTCTAGGACAGGCGGTGCATGATAACGTGATGCTAGTGATAGAGAAGGGATTTTTCTTTGCATTGTGTATGGCGTTGGGCTTGAGCTGCTGTGTCCACAAAAAGATTATGTTCTCTGCACTTGGGACCGTGGAGGATGGAATGCTGCTTTTGCTGGCACTTATGATTTTTTGTGGTTATGCTAGACATCATTGTCTCATGTCAGTAGCGATATAGGCTCGACGAGATATGCCGAAGACGGCCCTGTTCACGGGGACTTTACTTGTCTCGCGAGAAGGGGAGCTATTTATCAGGACAAAAAGTTTGATTCTAGTCTTATCGACTTCTTGTAGTAATTTCTAAGATGCCCTAAAGCCATTAATCCTGATAGGAATAAAAAGTGGAAGCCCTAGCTACTAAAGACGTCGAACCAGTAAGGGCTTAGGTGATATCCAAGAATTAGTTTACAAGGGCGTAATCGATATCTAGGCGTATATCTAGGCGTAGAGAGAGGTAATCGAGAATACTCATTAATCATGGAAGAATTATTCTTATTTTGGCTTTTATTTTTATTTCTATTGTATTGTATCTTGTTTCATTTATTGGGCTTGTATGAACTGTACCTTACTCCGCTAGTACTTAGTATCGTTACTTTAGTGACGGGAACCCCGTGCAAAGGGCAATCAATCACTGGATCCCCCGAATGGGGCACCAAAAAGAAACTCACATCAGCCTTCGTCATTTAACACAACCTTTCCTTTCTCCCTTTTCCTCATCCAACACTATCCCCACCTCCTAGGCAGCGCCCCTTTCCTTTTTCCTTACTTTTTATACTTAGATTTCTTTCCTGCCATCTATACTTCGCTTTCTCTTAACCGAAGTGCTATACGCGCTTCCGGCTGCCGATTTCTTCGCGGCTGTCAGTGACCCCCGTTCAAGGGCGCACACGGGAGGCTACCACATCAAGGCTCTGGGGGCGGTGTTGAGGAAAGCACAATTGACTTCGTACCTATAACGTCATTATAAACCCAGGAACTAAACATGGCCGAAGTCGAAAGCACCGCCGCAGACGACTCGTTCGTACACTCCGAACCCCAAGATGAGCAGCAAACCCATAACATGACGGTTGGCACGCGACGCCAGGCAAACGGTACGATCGGCTCCGTTTACTCGGGGAATAAAATCAGACATCTCAAGAAGGAGGATGGAATTCCGTTATGGCGCAAAGACATCCAACATCAGTTTCTCAAACTTGTTTTCGAAGACAAGACACCGGTCTTTACTCGTTGGCCAGACGGAGAGAAAGGCCTGGACTTTGCGGATGTCTACATCGATGCTATGGCAAAGAGTAGCAAAACAAGTAAGATCCTGAAGGATAAACTTCAAAACGATAAACAGGCAGCCATCAGCATGGCGATGGTCTGTCTACTGGTGAACTTCGGACGCATGAATACCACACTCAACTGTATGTTTCTTTCTTCAACTTTGCTCCTCTACCATGCGGGCGTGCCAGTATGCCCGTATGTTACAGTACGATTATTAATTTATGGCCATCCTAGTTTTCCCTGAAATGCGTGCTCAACTGCGGACGTATCATTCTATCCCTTCCTTGCAAGCACACCAAGACCCCAATGCCTACAAACAACTACAGGATGCCCCGCGGCTGAAGTCAATCCTTAAGGGAGCATCAGAGGATGTTGATCAGCCGAATACGCTCGATAAGATTAGACGTCAGAGAATTCCTCGGACAAACCCGGTCCATCTTATCTTCGTTATGGCCCAATACGCTCCCAAGGTATCTGAATTGCACTTCTTCCCACCGCGTGACTTTTTCGATCTAGTCATGAGATCTACGCTCAGCAGCAAGAGTCGTGCGAGGGCCTTCTTGTGGTTAATGTGGTGGTATTTGGAGAGTGACTTCTCACCTGAGGCAGCCCTGAACAACCCATTCGGCCCTGGCCTGGATGGTGAAGGAACTGGGGGTCTGCCAATCAAAGTACCAAACTTTGAGAGCCTCACTGAAGAACAGGCAAACGAAGAAAATGTGGACACACAGTCCGAAATCGAATATGGAGAAGCCAAACGCTTGGAGCGTAAACGTTGGTGTTCCGACCTGATCGTTCTTTCCTTCCTGTATCAGCTGACCCAGTATAGGTATCTTGGAAGAAGAAGAGCCAATCCCTAGGATAACTAAACGCTCTAAGAAAGGTACTTCTTCATCATTTCCCGTCCAATAATATGCTGATATTCACTAACCATACCTCATAGGCCTTCTGGAACCTGGATATGACGATGACCAGGTATCGGGCGATCTTTCTGGCCGAGGGGATGGCCTTGGAGGCCGTGGATCTGCCATGTCGACTCCATTGCACCCCTCGTCCAAACGTTATCCAGATGACGAAGATGACTATCAAACACCGGGACAATCTGCCCGTTCCCGATATAAGCGACCCAAGCGGGATTCATCTCTTAATCGTTCTGTTGGTCAGCAGCGCCTCATCCTGAAGACAAAAATGGAGCATACCCCTGACGCTTCTTCTCCGGCCCCTCCAGGTTCTGGTCACCCGGTTCTTAATAGGTTTGTTACAGAGCCTTCTTTGCCCCAACAGACCTCTTCCCGCCGTCCCCGCCCGCTTACCCAGCACCAGCTGGCTGTGGAGCAAAACAGGCGGCAGCGTATTGAATACATCCTCGCCAAACGGAAGAATGAGGCTTACCGGCTCCTCCGCACGAAACGTGAAACCGAAATCCCGTTCCACCGCTATAATCGCTTGCTGCAGAATGTCCCAGATAACTACGACACGGAAGATGAGGATAACTCGTGGGGCAAGGGGGGCTTAATTCCCAACCCTGAAGAAGAGGAAGATTACGGCGAGTGTGCCAGCTTCTACTTGTCCGTCATTCGTAAAGCCTCAAGGCGACTAGACCGGTGGGACCATGAAAATGCGAATGGCCCGAGGAGAGACCGGAAAAGGGAGAGAGAAGAGCGGCAAAAGGCGAGACAAAGCGGAGTTGGTCTTGACACGGACCTAACAGGGCGTGTGCCCACCTCTGCACGTAGCAGAGCTCGAGCTGCGCGTAATGCTAAGCGCAAGCTCGCTGGTGCGACTAAGGATGCCTCTACGGCGGCGACTCCCAAAACTAAAAGCACGTCGGCATCTCGTTCTAAGAACAACCGGAGCCGTGCAAGCCGCCCCACTGGGGATGCACTGGCAGCCCCTAATGGTGCTACTAAGGATAGTCTCGAGGCGCCATCTCAAGACCAGGAACTGTCATCCATGCCCGGGGATATGGATGGTGAAGCAGAAGAAGGCCTTGATGACATTGATCGCGAACTTCTTGGCGAGGGAAGCGGTGAGGAGGATGAGGGTGTTTCTCGAAGGCCCCTTCCTTCTCATCCTGTGGAGCCAGGCTACGAAGATAGTTTCATCGGCGAGGGGGCGGATGACGATGCAGACGCGTTGTCTTCGGATGAGAATGATGATGAAGCAGATGAAGATGATCTTGAAGGAGAAGGGGACGTTGATGTCGAAGGTGATGGCGACGAAAACTCGTCCGCATTTGAAGGCGGCAATGGATATGCCGCCAGTGAGGCTTCATCAGTTGCCGGCGATACTGTTGATAAAAGCTTGGAAAGGCGAACAGGAGAGAAAGACGGAGAAACCCTAGATGATCGTTGAATAAGGGGCTCCCGTATTGGTCGTGTGAAGGGGACGATCGATGAGCCAGTATTTTCCTTATCGTCTGTACCCGATTTTTATGTCTTATTCTATACTTCTTCACTGATGTTGTTTCTTTTCTCCTCATATTTCTTTTGCCTCGGTTTCACTCCTTTGACTCTGTATCGCTATCTCTGCTTCGGCTTATCCTTGACTTCTACGATCTTGTCTTACTTTATTTCTTTTCTTTATGGAATATTCATGTCACTATGGTATCACAGCCGACGACTCCTCATATAGTTCGAGGATATAATAGAATAGAATCAAACTTTTTAATAGTGATTCGTCGAGGCTTTCTATGTCAGGCAACAGCAGCCATACAAGATATACCTAGAAGCGATGGTATGCATGTACTCCTACTACTTAGTAGTCTCCCACCTCACCCAGGGTCACGGGGGGTTAACAGCCAATGATACGTTGTCAATGCATCGAGGTAGCCCTAGGTTACTAGTAGACTAGTGCAGAGGTGGCGATACTTTCCATGCGCTGATGCTTTTGCGGTGACCGGCTCTCCCCAATCGCACGGTGACTCATAGACAGTGATACGTCATGATCATCGAGCCATCCAGGAACATGGAGTGCGTACTATGTACTCCGTACATAGCTTTGAGAAAGCGACCTCGCAAGATTTGTCTTTCTTGGGGGGGGGTTGTATTAGTGCCACTGCTACATCATACAGTAGGTGCAGAGAAGCGCTGCAAATCGAGCGGAGAGACGAGCGGAGAGAGGGTACAGAAGGCCTATCAGAGTTCGAGTACGGCATATTTCGAGCCAGTTATTGGTCATCACCGGAGGATTCTGTTGGGGGGAAGGAAATTGACGTCCACTGAACCTGCAGGTGTTGTTTGAGGGTTTAGGATTTGCATGTGAAATTGACACCTGACTGATCACTGAATTTGATTTTCTCCCAATTTTGAGGCGAAAACCTCCACCCAACCGCAAAACATTCCACATTCTTTAGTGCAAAACACGTCTCAGGGCATATAGTTCTATCTCGGGTTATTAGTCTAGAGTCCATATACTTCGTTGCCCTTGATTCAATCATTTCACCGACGATAATTACCCTGGCCCCTGCCGAGCCGATCTCGCGCCTCTATCTGCACCGCGTACTCCACTCCAGCGCCTCAACGAACCAATTTCCTCCTTCAACCTCCTAGGATTTGAGCGTCCGTGCAGCAGCCCAGGTGAGAGAGCTTGTGGCACTCACAGACCTGCGTGTCTCCCTCAAACATCATCCTCAGAAACCCCTCCTTTTTTTTTTTACGAGACATTGCTGGCAGGATCGTCGCTGTTGCAACAGCAGACCGAGGATCTAGCCGTATCACCCTTGGTTTCTTTAGACGGCGATCACCCAGAACAGAGCCTGTGCTTCTCACCTCCTTAACGATCCCGCCGGTGTTGAATTTATACAGTTATATTTCCTCAATTCAAAGTTCCACCACAGCTCCCTGCCCGTCATGTCTGACGACCCGACGATTCTCCGACCCCGTCCACGACGGGTGTTTGACCTCACTCCAGCCTCTACCGAATCATCCGAACCCACGAGCCCTGCGGAACCCGCGAACCCAGACCTTTTAAACCCTAAGGATGCCGGGTCTACCAGCGTCAGTCGGACCGGTTCGATCATGAATTTGACGACCCCGACACTTTATGGTATCTATTCACCGACGGCTTTCGAGGGTTCCCGGGACGAAAACAGTCCTTGGGGGACGGAAGCTCAGACGCCAGCCATCGAAAAGCCAAACCCCCTCACAGTACCGGAAAAGCCAGATCGATTCACCCTGAAGAGGACACGTTCACGACTCAGTCACGGGCTATTCCTGGGTGTGATCCTGCCCCAAGCACTTAAGGCCGCCCTCTTGTTCAGCTTTGGCATAGTCTATGGGGTCATCACAATTCACTTACACGAGAATCATTGGATTACACCGGTGAAGCTGGAAAACACCCACTACTACGGGTCATGGGAATACCTGGGATTCTGGGGTGTAGCCGGAGTCGTTTTGGGGAATGTGCTTCCTGGCCTGGATCTTTTCTCGGAAGACGTTACGGTTGACAACGCCAAGCAGCCGAGTCGGTCGAGCAGCGACGAAGAGAATGAAGAGCGTACTCTGTCGTGGGTTGCAGCGGTCCGGAGCGTTGGCGCTTTTGTTGGGGTAGCATTTGCTATGGTAAGACGCCCAAATTGCAAACTTTTTCTACCGGCCATGTCGATTGACTGACATTTCTTTCTATAGCGAAGGACCCCTTGGCAATCGACTACACAAGCATCGGCGACGCTCGCTCTCGCAAACCCCGTCCTCTGGTATCTCATTGATCGCACCAAGACAGGCTTTTTCATGTCCACTATCGTGGGAGTAGGTGGAATGGGAATTGTATTGGCACTCAGGCCGGATTTAGTGCCGCCTTCTACGGGGGCATCCGCGACGGTGATTCCCGCCCTGAACAGCACTTTACGGGATCTCGGGTTGGGAACAGGTATCACGCAAGAGAGCCTTGCAGTCAGGACTTGGGTTGCCAGTGTTTTGTTCAGTGCGTGCGTTTGCTTTGGGAACATTGGTCGCCAACTAGCGATTTTTGCGCGCAGGGAATCCCTCCAGGCATGAATCAAGCATGGCACCAGCATTGAACTTTTAATCCTCCTTTTCCTTTCACTTCCCAATTCCACTCATTTGAGCGTATTCACAGGGTTCCCTTCCTCCGCGCTCTCATTTATGCTTCTAGGATTCCTATATGTCATATTACTCGGCTTTGGTAGTAAAGTGTGCATGGATAGACCCTAGCCGGCGTGGTCATTGATAGAAAATCACGGCGACTTGACAATTACAATGTTGACACGCCCAGTCGTAGAGCTTCTCAACTACACAATAACCTTACTACCAGTTCTACAATGACCATAACATGATCAATCCTCGCACCCAAGGTTGAGAAAAGATAAAAGAATAACATAAAAAGGAGTGTAGAATCAATCATTGCAATCCCTTCCACTGAACTCAAGAGTTCTAGAAGACACTGCACCCAAGATCGACACACTGCGGTTTGCAGTTCCTCTCCATTCTTTATGACGATTTCCGTACTTCATAGGCATCACCCCAATAGGGGATATCCTCGTAGGAACGCTTTTTGAAGAATGTTGATTTTGCGTTGTTCATGTAGAAGAAAAAAGAAAAGGAGAGGAAATTGCGGCCGAGCCGAGCGCAGTTTTGTACGTCGTCCATTGTGGTGGTCCGTGCTGTATATCATGTGATCTACGCGGGCTTTCTGGATTATGTCGTGTTTCGATGAGTCAGCCGCGTCTGCATTACGATACATAGTACCGAGTTAGTACTAGTTCGCTGGAAGCTGCCCCGCTATGATGTGATTGAAAGACTAAACTCTATCTAGCGTGTTAGTCATAATCAAAGCTCAGTCTTTGCCTCAGGCATGAGATTGTCCGAAAGCGGCGAATGAACCCCGCGGAAAAGTTGAGCTAAAGGTATAGGAAGAGAGAGGGAGAGAGAGAATACTAGTCCATTAACCAGGAGTCGATTAGAACTTGATTGAATCAGTCTGAGTTCCAGGAGGCAACTACCCACCCTGTTTTTACTTTCCGATCAAAAACAGGTCTGTTATTCAGGTAAATAAATACCTTCCCTTCATTGTTGTTGTTCTTCTTGTTCCCCGGTTGTGCCCCTCCGACCTGCTTGCGGTGTTGACTGTGGAGGGGTCGTGGGGATAAATTTTTCCCCTCCTTCCATTTTCTTTTCCCTTTTTTTTCCTTATCTTTCTGGTTCCTGACCTCGACGTGATCTAGTGCCTCTCGTGGTCGCTGTCTCAAAATGTCTCAACAAAAGTCAGGTAAGACAATTGAATCCATCTTTGCAGTTCTGGAACTGCATTGCTTGTCAAGTAGTGTGGATGTGGTCCGAATGTTTCCCCACAGTTGACATTTCTGTTACTCTTATGGATATTGAGCCGGCTGACACGCGATATTTCTTACAGCTATCCTCTCCGTCTATGACAAGACCGGACTTCTCGACCTGGCCAAGGGCCTGGCCAAGAACAATGTCCGTCTGCTCGCCTCTGGTGGCACTGCCAGGATGATCCGAGAGGCAGGATTCCCTGTCGAGTGAGTTCTCTTCAGTCTACACACATATCTATCAGATAAGATGACAGTCAGTGGAGCTAATGTACCGAACCTACAGGGACGTCTCTGCTATCACCCATGCTCCCGAAATGCTTGGTGGCCGTGTCAAGACCCTCCACCCTGCTGTCCACGGTGGTATCCTTGCTCGCGACATTGAGTCCGATGAGAAGGATTTGGCCGACCAGAAGATCGCCAAGGTCGACTTCGTTGTTTGCAACCTTTATCCCTTCAAGGAGACCGTCAACAAGGTTAATGTCACTATCGAAGAGGCCGTCGAGGAGATCGATATTGGCGGTGTGACCCTCCTCCGTGCCGCGGCTAAGAACCACGCTCGCGTCACCATCCTTTCCGACCCTCAGGACTACCCCGAGTTCCTTAAGGAGCTCGATGCCGGCGAGATTACCGAGTCCAGCCGGAAGCTGTATGCCCTCAAGGCCTTCGAGCACACCGCAGACTACGACAGTGCCATCTCTGGTTTCTTCCGTAAGCAGTATGCGGGCAACGGTGAGCAGCACATTGCTCTGCGTTACGGCACCAACCCCCACCAGAAGCCTGCCTCGGCATACATGCTCCAGGGCAAGCTCCCATTCAAGGCTCTGAACGGCTCTCCCGGTTACGTCAACCTGCTTGACGCTCTCAATGCCTGGGCGTTGGTCAAGGAGCTCAAGCAGGCGCTGGGTTACCCCGCTGCGGCTAGCTTCAAGCACGTTTCTCCCGCTGGTGCTGCCGTCGGTGTGCCCCTGAATGAGAAGGAGCGTAAGGTGTACATGGTTGATGATATCGCTGGTATTGAGACTTCGGGTCTGGCTCAGGCTTATGCTCGTGCCCGTGGTGCCGACCGCATGTCCAGCTTCGGTGACATCCTCGCTCTCAGTGACGTCGTTGATGTGCCCACCGCCAAGATCATCTCGCGTGAGGTTTCGGACGGTGTCATCGCCGCAGGCTACTCTCCTGAGGCTCTTGAGATCCTTTCCAAGAAGAAGGGCGGCAAGTACCTCGTGCTCCAGATGGACGAGGCCTACGTTCCCGCAGCCGAGGAGACCCGTACTTTGTACGGTGTTCAGCTCTCTCAGCACCGCAACGATGTGGTGATCTCTCCCCAGAAGACCTTCAGCACCATCGTGACGCCTAAGAACCTCCAGAGCCTCCCTGACTCTGCTTTGCGGGATCTCACTGTGGCTACTATCGCTCTGAAGTACACTCAGTCCAACTCTGTCTGCTACGCTCTCAACGGCCAGGTCGTTGGTCTGGGCGCTGGCCAGCAGAGTCGTATTCACTGCACTCGTTTGGCCGGTGACAAGGCTGACAACTGGTGGATGCGCTTCCACGACCGTGTCCTCGGCATTCGGTGGAAGAAGGGCACTAAGCGTGCCGACAAGGCAAACGCTATTGACTTGCTCTGCTCGGGTAACACCCCTCGCAATGAGGCAGAGAAGGCCGAATATGAGCGTGTCTTCGAAGAGGTCCCTACTCCATTCACTCAGGAGGAGAGGGAATCCTGGCTCGAGAAGCTGAGCGAGGTTGCCGTCTCGTCCGATGCTTTCGTAAGTCATCCCCCTGGTTCTCTTTTAAGCTGTAAAACCCCCATCGCTAACTCGCTTCACACTAGTTCCCCTTCATCGACAACGTTTTCCGTGCAGCCCGCTCCGGCGTTAAGTACATCGCTGCTCCCAGCGGTAGCCAAAACGATGGCCCTGTCTTCGAGACTGCAGAGAAGCTTGGCATTGTTTTCGTCGAGCAGGGTACTCGTCTTTTCCACCACTAGGTCATTACTGTTGTTTGATATGAGATAGTCCAAATGTTATGCTAGTATTCATGTGACGACGTTAGTCTATTTTCTCATAACTTTGATACCGAGCGCACTTGAGTGCAATAAAAGAACAGTTTAATTGTGCAATGATGTTTCCTGTGCATGTTTATTATAAATCGGTCAGCTCGACCCGGAACAGTATCCAGGAATGGGGTGGGGTATGTATTGTTGACTGAGTGAGTCAAAATGTCAGTCAGATACAATTGACTGAATAAAAGTAAAAAAGAGAAGGACAACTGCTCCCACGCGGATTTGAACCGCGGACCTCATGATTACTAGTCATGCGCTCTACCAACTGAGCCATAGGAGCTGGATTGGTTGAAAAAGTTTCTTTAACTAAGGTCATACGGAAGATTGGTTTTACTAGGCATTACGACGTCATGATGGTATAATGAGACGTGTATGCTACTAGTACTGGCCAACCTTTATGCTAGGGCGTATATGAGCTCTTGTCCCGGGGGTTGGATAACAAGCGGTGGCATTATGGCCCTAGCAAAGAACTTACCTGTGTGCTTCCCGCGACTTGGATTCCCATTCTTCTGTTTGCGCCAGATCCTTCAAAAGCGTGTATCCGTTGGTGGGTTTGTTTGATTGATATTGTGATAGTATCCTGGGTCTCACTTCGATGCGGACGTGGGATGGGCAGAATTCATTGATAGGTGCCATACTGGCCGGTGGTGACTTTGACCTTAGAACGGTCACTGCCGTCCATATATATATCTCGGTTCGGTAGAACCAAGCCAGTCTCGTTTCCATGGGCCGCTGACAACACCCAGAAGGGACTTAAGACTACTTATCCATTGCAGGAGATGGCAATTAAGCACCTTATAGCGTGGACGGCTAAACTAGAAGATCATATGTGCCTAAGATCTATGTAACATGTACTCTGTACATAGTACATACTTACCTCAAAAGGGGTGTGTTAATCAACAATAATAATCTTGCGTATATATTTAATAAATAAAATGATTTTCAATAACCAGCTCCTATGGCTCAGTTGGTAGAGCGCATGACTAGTAATCATGAGGTCCGCGGTTCAAATCCGCGTGGGAGCAGTTGTCCTTCTCTTTTTACTTTTTTTTTTTGCTCTTTCTTCTTTCTTTCTTTCTTTTTTTTTTTTTTTTT